AATTTTTCCAATTTACGCGAGAAATTTAAACGTTTGTCAATTACATTCGTGTATATGTATGTGTATGTATGTATATATGTATATATATATTTAAATGTGCTCATAATAATAATAATTATAAAATAATAGTAGCACTAATAATAATAATAATAATAATAATAATAATGTATAAATCGGTTATGATTTTGTTATTTCATATTTCTTCTTTCATCATTACTTCATTCACAGTACATAATTCTACTACGAAGTCTCACGTTCTCATATGCAATTTTAGTTGTCTTTCTTTAAAATTATATATTCCACCTATCAATATTACAATAATTATTTAATTTATTTTTAATTTAATTTAATTTATTTTTAATTTAATATGCTTTACTAAATTTTTTTTTGTTCGTCAAGTGCCACCGCGGTGAGAGAATAAAAAAATATTAAAGACAAATATTTGTTATCACGTTATATATAACAAACTATCACAATAAGTACAATAAATTTTTGTTTTCTTTTTCTTTCTCATTTTTTTTTACTATGATGAAAGTATCTTAAAAAGGGTGGACCAAAAAGATAAGAAGAAAAATGACAAATGGCGATCATTATTTTCAATTTTAAATATAGCAATAAAAAAAAAAATCTTTTTCTCACTCTCTCTCTCACACACACACACACAACTGTCTCTCCTGCAATTTCATTCATAGGACTATCGTTTTCTTTCTTTTTCTTTCACACGCACACACGCACACTTGTCAGTAGTCATTCAACTACTTTTTAGGTCCTGCCTTTTTTAAATCATCTTTTCCTCTATTCACTTAAAAGAAATTATGTATGATTTTTTTAAACAGCGATACTAATTGAAAAAAAAAACAAAAAACAAAAAAATCAAAAGAAAAAAGATCTATGAAATAAGAATATAACAAATCATTAACAAGGGGGGGCAGTCTTTTGTGTTAATATTTTCACTAAAAAACAAAATAATAATTATTATTACTTTTATCGAACACACACTGAATATCATTTGCGCTACAATCTCTCTCTCTCTCTCTCTCTTTCTCTTTCTATCTCTTTCTTTTTCTTTTTCTATTTTTGTCAAATAAATAAATATGTATTTACATATTTGTCAATATATAAATACATATTTATCCATTCTTTCGTTCACTCATTAATTTATTTGTTTATATATTTTGCTTTTTCTGTGCTTATGTGATGCATGTAAGTAAATATATCTGTTTGTATGTATATATTTATATGTATGCGCGCGTGTGTGTGTATCTGGATGTGTGTATATGCAAATATATTTCTGGTTCGATGCAGAGGGTAACGTACAATTAATAACTATATATGATTAGCAGAAATTAAAAACGTATTGGTTTGACTAGCTTTTGATCATCCCACTCTCTCTCTCTCTCTGTCTTTTTTTCTCTATTGCTCTTTTTCTATTCCTATTTCTCTACAAGTCAATCTTTTTTTCTCTTGCACATTATTTAAATATTCTATTCGATAGAATATTATGAGTCGATCAATTAAATTAAAGCATTTTGCTTGCGAATCATCAATCATCGTCGAATAATGTCACATTTTCTTTCCTTATCTATCTCTATTTCTATTTGCTATCTTTATTTTTCATGTCTTCCTCTATGTTATATTTTACTTTTTTTTTATAAATTGATCTCTACAACGTAAGAGTAAGTCTAGCACTTGCAATTATCATTTGTCGTGCGCATGGAGAGCCATATGCATACTCGGGGCAGTTCAGTTATTTACTGGCAGGATAACTCGTTTTATTTATTTATTTATTTATTTATTTCTTCCTTCCTTTTTTTTTTAACTCTTTCTCTATATCTTTCTACTAAACTTTGTTTGAAATCACCACGTGGCCTTGTACGTATTTTTTATCCTCTAATAGTAATGATAGTAATAATAATATAATAATAATAATAATAATATAATATAATATATATATATATATACACATATATATGTATATATATATATATATATATGTATAATATAATATAATAATATATAATATTATGTGTGTTTGTGTGTACGTTTTCTAGCATACAACTATTTTATCATTTCATTTACCATTGTTATTCTTTCATATCTCTTTGTGTTTTTTTAGTCCTCACACATACACATTACTAATTTCTAATTTTTAATATTTTATTTTGACGAAATTCATTCATTTTATCTTCTTCTTTCGTTTCTTTTTCTTTCTTTCTTTCATCTTCCTTTTTCTTACTTATTTTTCATTATACAGTCTTTTCCAATTGTTTCATTCACGCGTACTCAAGGGGACACGTGAAATATTCAGTCTTTGATTTAATTTATTTTTTTTTTTTGTATTTTTTTTAAATTTTTTCTTCTTTTTTTAATTTTTTTTCCCCCGCTTTAAATTTTTCCCACCTACTTCAGTGTACATTTTTTTCTTTAAATTATTATTATTATTAATTTGTTTTTTCTTTCAAGTCTCTTTCTTTCTTTCCTTCGCGTTTTTTTTCTTTTTTTTTTTTCTGGAGCTTTTTCTTCTTCTTTTTTTTCCATTTAAATCGCATAATTATTATTATTATACTTCACTAATACGTTATGTTCTTTCTTTTATTATATTTTTTCCTTATACTTCATTTAATATGATATTCTTCTCTAGCAAAACAATGAAACAAAATATTATACTGAAGCGATGTAATTTATATTTCTTCATTTGTTTTTTTTTATCTTCCTTCGATATTTCAAGAGAAATACGTATTAATAATAAAAAAAATAAGAAGAAGGAGAATATAGAAACGACAATAATAATAATAATAATGACAATAATAATGATCATAATCATTATATATAGTAAAATAATAATAATAATAATAATAATAATAATAATAATAATAATATATTGTTTTTTTTTCTCTGTGTATGCTTATTAATTTAAAGCCACAAATTTCGATGTCAACACTGCACGAAAAAGAATATTGTTTTTTTCTATATCATATATGTAGAGATATTATTATTATTATTTTTTTTCCTCCTGCTCCTCTTCCTCCTGCTCCTCCTCCTCCTCCTGCTCCTCATCCTCTTCTCTCTTCTTCGTTAATTAATATTACTTCCACATGCATACATACGAGATACATCTCATCATTCTAATCGTTTATTATATTAGCCTAAGCTACTTCATCTTTATCTTCTGTATTTTTATTTTTAATTATTTTAATTAATTAAGGCCTTATTATTATTATTATTATTGTAATACTAACCCGCGAAAGTCTAAAAACGCTTCTTCTTCTTCTTCTTCTTCGTCTACCTCTTTAATTCATTTTTTTTTGTTCTTTTCTTAACTCGATTTCTTTTTTTTTTTTTTTTCGTTTAAAATAAGAAAAATATAACAGTCAGTACAAATACTTAGGAATTCACGAGATCTCTGCGCGCAAATTACGAAGCATACACGCGATTATACATATTTTTTTTTTTTTTTTTCTTTTCAATTATTATTTTTCGTTCACTGCGCTTTGCGCGAACATAGTTATTTTTCTTCTTCTTTCTTTCTTGCTCTCTCTCTTTCTCTATCTTTCTTTCTCTTTCTTTGCTGGTATTTATACATATACATAAATGTGTGTATGTAGAGAAAAGAGAGACGTATGTATATATATATATATATATATATATATATATATATGTATATTATTTTATCTCGAATTGTCAAGAGAGAGAAAAAGAAAGAATGCATGTATATGGAGCTCAAAAATTGTAATATAATGAGCCTTATTCTTTAAGTATATTTTTGCTTTGTTTTTTTTTTTTTCTTTTCCTCCATTTCTCTCTTTAGAAACAGAATATTGTTAATAACAACAATTGGTAGTAGCATTAGCATTAATAGTAATAATAATAGCAATAGTCATAGTATAGCAATAGCGGTAGTAATAGCAATAGCACAGTAGTAGTAGTAGTAATAGATGTAGTATAGATATAGTTTTAGTAATAGAGTAGTAGTAGTGATGGTAATAGTAGTAGTAGTAGTAATAGATATAGTATAGTATAGTTGTGTTGTAATAGAATAGTAATAGCAGTAGTAGTGATAATAGTGTTGATGGTAATAATAGTAATATAGTAATAGTACTTATAGTGATAGCAGTAGCAATTAAAATAAAATAAAGTAAAATCAGTCCGTATTCGTTTANTATTTTTGCTTTGTTTTTTTTTTTTTCTTTTCCTCCATTTCTCTCTTTAGAAACAGAATATTGTTAATAACAACAATTGGTAGTAGCATTAGCATAAAAATTAATAATAATTATTATATATATAAAATAAAATAAAATAAAATAAAAAATAATAATAATAATTAATTACATTATACAATTACTATAATGTGTCCTGTTTTAAAATCAGACGAATTCCATTTCCTGAAATGGATAACACGAGAAAAATAATATTGCAAACATCTCACGACATAATTCCACATTCTATTTTGCTCTTTTTTTTCCTTTCTTCTTTCTTCGTGCACTATCTATCTATCTATCTCTCTCTCTCTCTCTCTCTCTCTCTCTCTCTCCCTCTCTCTCTCTCCCTCTCCCTCTCTGTCTTTCTATCTCCCATCTTTTTTTTGTATTTTATACGATTTTATATTTGCTCTCTTACGCTCCTTCTTTTCTTTTTTTCTTTTCTTTTTTCGTTCTTGCGTTCATTCTATTTTTTCTCTTAAAATTCTATTTATATGTGTATACATATACATATATTTATATATATTTTTTATTCTTCTTACTTATTCTTCTTCTTCTTCATTTCTGTAGATGCAGCTAAGTCAAGGAAAGAATCTATCTTTCTAATAACATTTGGCTCGCCAAATTTTGTCAGTTTCTCGTTTAACAGTAGAATTGCATTAGATTTAATAAAAAATATGATTCACACATATATATATTTATATATTGAGTCATTTATGTTTCGTGTCACTCAAATACGATCTCGTCCTATCTTTGCGTGATCATTTCAATTGTCAAAGATTTTTTTTTTTTTCTTTTTCATTTTCTTCATTTCTTTTTATTCCTTCTTCTTCTTCTTCTTCTTCATTTGGTAATGTTATTAAAGCGTGAGAGTGTAATATTAATATTTATATATTCATATCGCAATAAAATATGCGAATATATATAATATATTTAATGTCATATGTGATTATCGACCAGTCAAATTTGTTCACATTTCCATTCTTTCCATGTTCATTTCAAAAATTTACCATATATATAGTAATTTTAGTCTTTTATTCTAACCCACCTTGCACCACCCCTTTTATCTTTTATTTTTTTGTTTTGTTTTTGCTTTTTGTAACAATCTATTATTTTTTGGACAAGTATTATTAATGTGTAAGTTTTTTGTTCTGTATCGTTTCTATTTTTTTTGTTTTAAAGATGGAACTTACTATACGTCCAATAAAATAATGGCGAAGGAGACATGTTCTTTTAAGCTTCGCCAAAACCGTCAAGAGCTTGTTCGGTCATTCTCAAGCAGAGCGTTTCAAGGCTTAAATTTATTTCTGGCTCGGTTGTTTCTGGTCCATTATTTCCACCATTTTCACCTCCACCTCCGCTTCCTCTTTGACCAAGAAAATGATCTCTTGGTGCACTATATGTTCGTTGCAACGTTCTTTGTAGTTGCTATAATAAATATTAATCATGAATTAAAAACAAAACAAACTAAGACAATTTTTTCTTTACAGAACTATTAATTTTAACTATGAGTTATCCTTTGTATTAATTTTTAACCCTTTCGCATATGTTGATTTAAAAAATTGTAAATTGAAGCAGAATATCAATGAATTACTATCGTCACCAATAGAACAAAGTAAGCATCAAACGTTGAATGACCATAGTTATTAGTAGCATCGAAAGGGTTAAGCTTTTGAGCAAGAATGATTAATAATAAATTTATATATACCTCTAAGCTGCTTTCTTGTAAACTAGGTCTTTTCTCAGCCGTATGTACTGGACGTAAATTATTCTGATTCATAGTTTGAATCTGATTATTTTGTATGTATGGTGTCGATATACTATTTCTATGTGGACTAACGGTAAAAGAATTATGTGAGTGAGTATTATGAATATGATTTAAATTTAAACTCGGTTTTCTATTGTGTTGTTGGAGATTGCAGAATCTTCGATTATTGTATCCATAATTATATTGCCATCTTAAATTCAAACGATTACAATTAGTACAATAATTATATATATATATTATAATGAATAATAAATTGGTTTCATACTTTGGTATTGGTCGTGGATTACCAAGTCTACTACGCCATTGTTGTACTTTTTCCTTTTGATTGGGAGTAAAGCAGTCATGTTGCAATACCTTTTCTAACACATTAATGCATGCACATAGAATTCCATCATCAACGCTGTCTAGTGCCAGTCTACTACAAACTGTAAATTGTTTAAAAATAGCATTAACAGAGTTTGAAAAATATCAAATACAAATAAAGGAAAAAAAAATTAAAAGAAATTAGCTTACGTTTTCCAAGTACTTTAGTAAATTGTGTGGGTATATCCTGAGGATCGCTTTCCTGACTTGGTTTTAAAGGTGTCGCTAATATGGTCTTTAATTCGTCAAGAGTGTTGACAAGCAATATTGGCCCTTGTGAAAATGAAGTACCTTGTGTACTATCTCGAGTTGGTTGCAAAAGATCCTTTTCTAAGTTAACTAGAGTTGTATAACGTTGTTGCAATTTAGCAATGGATAAAGCTAACTTATGTCTTGCTCCCTTCGTTACACCTTGTTCAGCTAATTGATCTTCAGTTAGTTGTAACATTTCTTCATAGCTTAGGGTAACGAACAAGTAGCTGTATTTGTGGAGACGTAACGTCTTAAGCCATGATGGTACATCTACGTTTGAAATATATTTAATAAATTCAATTAGTTGAATCTATTTTTTAAATTCATCGGCAGATAATGGTGTAACAAAAGATATATATTTTTTAATATATACCTTTCATTCCACTTGCCAATGTACGATTAGAAGCTTCATCTAAACGACCCTCGCTACCACTGCTTGCACAAGAACTCTGCGGACTGAGAGGACTTAAACCTATTAGACTATCTATAAAAAGAAAAATAATATTAATATTATTACATTTTCTTATTTAATTGAATTTAATGAATGAATGATTAGAAATATTAAATTCATTATTAAACTAACTGGTATGATCTATGGAAATACTAAAACTGCGTGGTTTGTGTCTTGTGGAATTATTAGCGTTATTGGTACGATCGACGACTTCAAGATGATGTGCTGATGCATCTGGTGGAGTCAAACTATTTGAACGACGTTGACGAGTTACAGGAGGAGGAAATTGTAGATTAAATGTGGTACTTGGCTGTGTGCCAAACAAATGTGTTTGTTCATTTGATTGTTGTTGCTGTTGTTGTTGTTGTTGCTGTTGCTGCTGTTGTTGTTGTTGTTGCTGCTGTTGTTGTTGCTGTTGTTGTTGCTGTTGTTGTTGCTGCTGCTGCTGCTGCTGTTGCTGCTGCTGTTGTTGTTGCTGTTGCTGCTGTTTAGAATTCCTTTGCCACACATTATCCCACCTTTAAAGTAAAACATTATCAAAATACTTATATTATTTATTACATTATTAAGATATAAACTTAAAGCATATAATCATATCCAATAATTCATATTATTATTCACCTAGTCGTGGTGTTTGTATATTCTTCAAGATTATGAATTGCAGTACCACTGATACGCTCTTCAAGATGTTTTAGCCATTGAGTTAGTGAACGTCTATCTTGACTAGTTATAGCAGGGTGAATTAATGTGTAACTTAGCAACTGTTGGGTCTGCTCTGTAAATTGACCTGTGCTCACGCAATGACTAACTAACTCAGGTATTGCAACAAGATAACATTGTTTGCACTCTATATTCCCAGGCCTTAAAAGTGGGAGATGTGTTAATAGTTGATTGATGGCAACATCAGTAGATTCAGAGAGTAACGAACCAATGAAAGCTAAAATTTTCAAATTTTGCTTAGTTTTTTAATAATAGAATATAATATCAATTTTAGCACACAAATAAATGTTATTAATTAATTACCTGGATTATTAGCATTCAATTCTTGAGTATCCAAATCAGAAACAGCATGAAGAGAATGTTGTATGGCGTGTGCTAGAAATCTAGCTTGAACAGCTGGTACACGACGTAGTAAAGCATAAAGAACCACAGTTTGTTCGCACTCGTTCCACTGAGAGAATACCCGAGTAAGTTCACCAACTTGTTCACAAAACAGAGCACCCGGTGACCACTTCATTTTATATTACACTTATCGATATAACTGATAGAATGTCTATGATCACATCCAAGAAGTCGCTGTTTAAGGCTTTCCGAGAAGAGGTTATATGAACTTTGATTAAAATCTTTCCTCTTCCAAAAGTTACTCTGTAGCAAAAATAAAAAAACAATGTCCTTAATGATAAACTTACAAAAAAGATAGAAGTTGTATACTTGAGATTAAAAAATTAGATACCGTATTATATTTCTATTACATCCTTTCTGAATATTACAAGCCAAATAAGGAGCACTGAATTCTTAACCTTTAAAAACGAAAAACAAGAAAATAAAAGGAGACAAAAGTTGTGGTAGCCTCAAAATAACGACGAGTCGTTATCAACAGTATCGATTTAAACACTCCGATTATACAATCAAAACGAAAACTTTATAAATACGGCCTATTAGAAGAAAAATAAAAGAAGAAGAAAATAATGAATTTACCGAATATGAATATATCTCCCGGCTGGTATAAATGGCAATTCATAAACGTTGAGGAAGGTCAGTTGTACAACTGCATGTCCAAAAACATCGTTTTAAACTTTCTATACTTCCTAACATGAAGAGAAGAACATATCGGTTCGAATAAAAAAAAAAAAGGTCAGAGCCGGATAAACGCAATACTTTAAAACACAGTTCCACCCTACACAATCATGTATACATAAATACACATATATATATATATATATATATATAATATGCGTTCTAAGAAAAGAAAAAAGAACAAGCTGGAGAGAAAGAGAGAGAATGTGCGTGTGAGTGAGCGAGAAAGAAAGAGAAAGGGAGAGAAGGAGTGAGAAAAAGAAAGAGAGAAAGAGAAGGAGAGAGGGAGTGAGGAAAGCGGGGGGGGGAGAGAGAATACTTAAAAAGAAAAAAAAGTAAATATATTTATACCCCGTGACGAACTTTAAGCTTGGAACTTCAAATCGGTAGACACACATACATACATATCATGTATATATATATATATATATAGATACACACAGTTTCACTTTAATTATATTATTTTAAAATTATAGAACAGAAGACAATAAATAACGACAAAGAGAAGATAAAGCTAGAAAAAAAAATGGAATACCACATAACCTTTAAAAACATATATATATATGTTATCGTGAAAGATCGAAATTGGAGAATGTCAAGATTTACATGGTCGCTTGGTGTTTGTTCAAAATATTATAATGTATAAAAATAAACCCAAATATTCGGTCTTTCACCGACGTATTTGATGTGCTGACAAGCGATCATGTGAATCTTGACATTTTCCAATTTCGGTCTTTCACGGTATTATATATATACATATGTATATATATATATATATATATAAAGAAGTTAACTCCGCATCAAAGATATACACCGATAAGAATTCCACTGAGGTCAAGTTTGTTTACCCCGCGATGCATGTGTATTTATAGCTTTCCTGCTGAGAAGCCACGTTCGGCGGTGCAATGGCATCGTTAAGACCGCCCTAAACACACACACACACATATGATTTTTAAACTCACACATACACACAACCGATAAGATAAATTTCTTATATACATATATGGAATTTTTAAAAATGTCACTTTAATTGTTTTCGTCCTCTCTTTTTATCTCTCCCTCTCTCTCTCTCTCTTTTCTCAATCCATTTCATTGAAATCATCCAATAAAAAAAAAGACCAATGAAAAATATTCAAATTTATGAAAAGTAACTAAAAAAAAATAACTAGAAAATTAATTCGATCGGACTTGAGTTATTAATTATATAAATATTATTCGTTCAATAAGAAAAAAAGAAAAAGAAACAAAAATCTCTACGTAATAAATATTAAGAACAATAGTAATAATAATAATAATAATAATAATAATAAATAATCGAAAAAAGTAGAAAATTTAAAATAGTATTATTTACTTGCGCGATATATTATGTTGGATCGAATTACACTTTTCATATGTTTAAGAAAACGTTTCCCAAGTTTAGATTCTATCCTTCTAATCTGAATTTTGAGTGGCAAAAGTCAAAGGGCAGAGAATTTTGATGGTAGGTGAAGATAGATGTGTAGAAACATGAGAAGAGAGGAGGGGGCGGAAAGAGGGAGGAGGGTTGAGAAGAACGAAGGGAGAAAAACAAGAATACGAGAGAAATGGTAAACTCGAGAACAAAATTATGTTCAATCATTATTATAATTATAATAATAATAATAATGATCATCATCATCATCATATAATTATAATAACCATCAAACGTTTCTTCTATATATTATTATTCTAATATTTCTGTGATCACACATTCAGAAAGGATAAACTTAAAATTCAAATGCTTTTTTTTTTTGTTCTTACTGTGTGATCGTTATTATTATGATTATTATTGTTATTAATATGTTTTTTTCTTATGTTTATTATCCTATAAGTTTGCTTTCCACCCCTCTCCCTTTTAAACACTACCCTTTCCCCCTTCCCCCCGTTCGATGGCGACTCCACTGATATTCGGCCATTGAGCCCGAAACGAGACAAACAGAGAGAGGAGAATTCTCAGTGTTTAACACTCCCGCTGTCAGTTTGTTCGTTTAGTTCGTTTTCGAATCTAATTTATATTTGTATTTATATATATATACACATACATATATGTACAAATATAATTGTCGTAGAGAAAAATAATGCGTGTGTTTGAAATTACCGTGTTACTCTTTCTGCCTAGTTCAAGCAGCTCGATGATCGGTCGTTCCTTTTACACGCGTTTATTATGTATCAGCATTAACTCGTTTTGCACGATACAACACAACGAACGAAGAAATTGAACTAAACAACGCGGATTTTATAACATGTTTCTTCTTATTTGTTTGTTTTTCTTCTTCCCTTCTTCTTCTTCTTTTTTTTCGTCGTTCTATCAACTACTCGGCGTTGATTCGAAACGAGAGAAACATTAATCGACCACATGCGATATTGTCGGCCTACGTGACCACACTGGTTCGTTGTCGTGATCGAAACTCGACGACTCTATGACTTCTCTCATTGGTTATCATATGTCACTTGTTATCAGCCAATCATAGAACGTGACGGGGCGCGGCTCGTTTATCCAAAGTTCGTCGACCGATGAATACCTGTCATCTGATTGGTTGATAATATTACATAGGTTCAACCAATCAAGTGTTTTGGCGGCTTAAAACTTTTTGAATTATATTCTTCCTATGTATTCTCCCTGTGTGCTCGACATTTGAAATTCTAAAAGAAACAGATAGATATATATATATATATTAGTATTTATATATGTATAATATATACGGTCTAACCTTTATGCTTATTTTTTTCTTTACATTTAGTTTAGAAATATTTTCTTTATGTGTGTGTGTGTGTGTGTGTGTACGTGTATGACATAGTATATAGAAAAGGTTATCGTTAATATATTTAACGTATTTCAAAATTATACGTTTATTGATAATTAACATTTTTCAAAAATTCTTTTATTTCTTACGATCAATCCCAATCATATTATTTATTATTTTGGCCAGTTAATATTATACACGCACTTCCTATTGTACATACTGACGCCGTATTTTTCTTAATTACAATTAAATTTAACATAATAAAATTTATTTAACATTTCAACTATTTTAATATATTTTGTTAAAAATTTTGTTATTGGTAGTATTTTTCTGTTTTGTTTTTTTTTTTATTCAGTATCATTATGTCATATTATTGCATACGTCTTATAATAATAACACAATTTTCATCTTAGCACTTTTAATTAATCTTCATGTCATTTTCAGTTTGTCTCGATCGAACAATCTGTTACTAAAGAAAGTTAGTTAATATTTATTTACACAATATAAATATACAAGCATATTACTAACAATAAAATTGAAATCCAACGCTTATCATGAAATCATGAAGAACATTTGAAAGAGTCTTTAATAAATTTCATTGCACTGTTATATTTAATTACGATATTATTTTTATAAATAAAAAAATTTTTTTTTCCTTTTTTTCTTCAAAGACCTTTCAATTGACATTTATATTTGGCAAGATTAGTATTTCGATTTCATGAGAAAGTTGATGTTTCCCCTGGCATAATAATTTACTTATTAAAGAAAAATGAAATAAACGCGCTTAATAATACTTATACCGATAATTGACACAAGTTAGAGAAATATTGGTGTTTGTTTATCATTTATGCAGCAATGGATCGATTTATACTAAATAATTTATACCTTACACTGATTATAAAAAAACAAACTATAATATAGATTCTTAAACTCTATTGTGCACTATAAAAAATGATTAAATTTATATATATATATATATTATATATAAAACTATTTTAAGTTTATTAATTTTCTCCCATTCCATCACTCTCTGTAACTAGAGCACGCTCCAATATAACACGGCCTTCCTTGTATCGTTGATTATCATCTGTCGCAAACTCATAAACCCACCCAAGTTTAGCATCACAGTTTTTACAGCTTACATCTCGTACCATGTGACGTCCAGTTAACATCACTCTATCTTGTACCTCGCTGCACAACATGTAATAATAATATTAAATAGATTCATAAAACAATAATTAAGTTAGATAGCGAAGAGAACAATGATCATTTTTATAAGCGTTGTGTTATATCGTATAAGCTTGACTTACTTCAAATATCATCGAACAATGAATCTCAATGCATATAGATAATTTATGTAATAAAAAATATTACTAATTAACAAAATGCTAATAATAACAATGAAGTTATAATACAAAATAATAATATAAAGAAACAAGTTTTATATTTTAATACCTGTAATTGAGGTTAACAACTTTGTTAAAGAGAAAAGCTCGACCAGTTGCACCAGTGAAACGAGTACTGATCAGCTGTCCTCGGTTTGTTAAATTAGTGTCGCACGAAGCGCAAGAAAAAAGACGCGTGCCACCGATGTGTTCCAAAAATATTACCCCCATTTTAAAGTTTGCTTTTATCACGAAGAAAAAAAATAACACGTTATGAATATTTGATCAATTTTTCAATATATCTCGAAACGTACAAACAAAGAGTAATAATAATCATACAAATGTTGCAACCAAACACTCGACACATTTACACTACGCTAAATATATACGGTGATTTGCATTAACAAACTTATGACACTTTCCTCGCACACATATGATTGACCAAAAACAGAGCATTAATTCCACTTCGACACCTAGATGGCGTTACTCTGATTTTTCATTTATTTTAAATTTCAAAAATTTCCTAATATTCACACTAAAGATTCTATTTTTTGTTGATCTATATTAAAAAATGTTATTATAATTTATATTATACATAAATCTTGTAGAGATATTATATTTATAAATTTTATATTAAATAATATATGAAAGAAAAGTAATATAATATTAATTTTCATTTTCATTATTTAAAATTATGTTGGATTGTATCTTTGTATAGAAAAAGAAATTCTGTAAAAACATAATTTTACCTAGATATTTGATAATAATCTTTATTACATCAAAATATTGTATCTTTATTATTCATATATAAATGGTATACAATATGTTACAAATACGTATGTATATGTATGTATATATGTATGTAAAATGCGT